CCTAAAACCCACTCCCATTTTGAGTTTAGGCAGAAAACACTTCTGGAAGGCCTCTTGGTCCTCTGAGAACTGGAGCACAGAGCTGGAACTTGGGAAAACTCTCCATCCCTCCCCTCTGCCTCACCCACTATAAGCAGCCTCCAACTCCATCCTTTGGCCTTCACACTCTCTCAGCCTATCCCTTGGACTCAGACCTCATCCCTTCCTGTCTAGACACCATCACCCCAGCCTTCTCAACTTGCAGCCTCCTCTCACAGTCTTTCTACACCCACAGTGGACACTCCCCTGCTCACAGGACTGCCATGGTACCTCAGTACCCTAAGGACAAAGTTCCAGTTCCTCAGCCTCGCATTTAAGGCCTCAAGTGACCTTACCCTACCCACCTCTCCAGTCTTTCACACCAGCTCCCCACCTCTCAAGGCCCATTGGTTCTCAACCAGGAAGACATTCTGCCCCCCCCCATGAATGTCTGGAGACATTTTTGATTGTCACAACTTGTGTTGAAGGGGGAATACTACTGGTATCTAGTGAGTAGAGGTCAGGAATACTGCCTGGCATCCCACAAAGTGCAGGACAGCCCCCACAACAAAAAATTATCCCACCCCAAATGTCAGCAGTACAGAACTCTAGCCACATGCTGTTCTCCTTGCAGAAACACCCTTCCCTTCTTCCTTCTCCCTTTAGCAATTCCTGGGAGGGGTTCTGGGCTCCATTCAAACTTGCGGGCCTGAAGTCTTCCTGGCCCAGTCCGTTGCCCAGGCTTGGCCTGGTGGTGCCCGGTGTCACTTGCTTTGGGGCACGTGTCTGTTTCCCACTAGAGGGCGCTCCTGGAAGGCCTCTAAGTCCCCAGGGCCCCGCCCCATAGGACCTGGAACTCCGGGAAAGCTGAGGACTGGAGAAGAATGGGTGAATGAAAGAAAGAATATATGAATTACCCAGTCCTTCCAAGAAAATCTCACTTCCCCCCTCGGAGCGGACGCTCCCGGCCGATAGTCCCAAAGGCATCTTGGCCAAGAAGGGTGAGGCTCCTGTAGGGGCTGACACAGGACACTTCAGACAACGGGCAGACGAGGGCAGGGAGAGTTGCGAGGGACTGGGAATTGAAAGAGGGTGACACTAGAACCACTGTGGCCTATCTTTGAGTCTCAGTTCCTCCAAAGGATTGGAGAGGTACATCTTTCAGACCTCTTCCTACACCCCTCCTGACCTCCCACCTCTCACATCTCGGTCTTGAGTTCTTGACTCTGACTCTGGCACGGGGTGGGCGGGAGCGAGGGAGAGGGGAGAGGCAGACAGATGCCCCCGGGTCTCCGTAGCTCCGAGGATAGGCTGTATGGTCATAGAGCAGGGGAGACCGGCCGGCCGCGGGAGAGTACCTGCTGCAGTGCCTGACCTGTCCTTGGTCCTCCTCCAAGCTCACTGTTGTGGTCTGGTTACTGGGGAGATAAGGACCCAATAAGGCCCAGAGGACAGCGGCCAGGGAGGGACCCAGGTCGTGAGGAGAAGCCAAGAGAGGAGGGGTGGAGGAGGCTGCCGGTAGAAGACCCGAGGGACTTAGAACTGATGGGCCGGGGAACCCTCAGGGGGCGGGGCTGTGAAGACCTGTGAAAAGAGGGAGAGTCGAGGTATTTCGGGGGACAGGAGATGGGGGCACGGGTGCCTACAAAGGAACGGTTTCGGGGACTGACTAGAGGAGGGGCAAGGGCGACTGTAAAGTAGCAGGCGGGACGGCGAGGGTTGTGTTTGGAAGGACTTACCCAGAGGCCTCGTAGGAGGGCTGAGAGGGGCGACCTGAGCGTGCTACAGGTCGCTGGCTCTAACGTGTCAAGGGCGGGCTAATAGGGAGGCGCGCAGGCCGGGAGGGTCTGGGGGAAGTCGGGATGATCGGTATAGGGAGCTTGGGGCTTTGAGGGTCTCAGGAGTGTCGCGGGTTGTGTGTTTCCAAAAGAGGCAAGAGCTGACAGGGCCTGGAGAGAAACGTCTGGGCTTTGGGTCCAGAGAGGTGCCTGTCTTAAGCAGAGTAAGACCGCGTTATTTTAAGGATTCGTTAAGTGGGAGGCAGTGCCAAAGGCGGGCGTTGCGAGGGGAGAAGGGCTCACCACAGTTTCAGTGCCTCGCAGCGGCTCACGACGCATGCGCGACCAACCGCCTCAGGAGAAGCCTACAAAAACCCAGGACGGCCTACTCTGGGAGGCGGAAGTGGGCGTGGCGTACGATGATCCGTGCCACCCCCGCTTTCCGGCCACGCCTCTACTGGTCACACCCTCACTCTGAAGGGCACGCCCCCCTCCACTACTACCAGCTGCCCACGTGGGCCTCCGGGGGGCGGGCGGACTGTGGGCGCTTCTCCCTGAAGGCTGGGTGTGCCGACGCCTGCGGTTTCCTGTGGGAGGAAGCGGCCCGCGGACGATCTGCTCAGCTCGTAGCCTCAGAGGCCCAGGAGGGGGAGCTCCGGCCACTGCCCTCGGGTTCTGTGATTCTCCCTCTTCCACAGTACCTCCAGAACATCACCCCAAGTCTGGCGCCGATTCCACTCAGGGAACTTGACTCCGAGTCCTAGACTCCTGTTCACCTCCCAGTTCAAGTTACCGTCTTCCCAGCCCCTAATTCCCCCGACTCCTCCTAAGACCAGAGGAGGGCCCCCTTTCCCAGCACTCTAAGAGGCACAATGACCTCTTCCAGCCCCAAATTTTCCCCAGTGACGCAAACTTCTAATTTCCTTGGGGATCTGAGAACAGGCTTAAGTTTGAGACTACGTACTCCCCTTACTCTCCAGGGATTCTGATTTTGGATTTACTTTAGCCCTGAGACATAATGGACCCAAGAGTTTGCCCCTTCCCGAATTCCTAGAGACCCTGAACCAGGTGCCTCAGAACTGAATCCACTCAAGACCCCAAAGCCTGATATAACTAGCATGTACATAAGCAGGCAAGAGTTAAGGGGGGGGGAAGTTTTAAATAAATAACTAGCATATACAGTACTTAACTGTGTGCCAACCACTACTCTAATAGCTACCCTACAATGTACTTACTATTATATTTATTTTACAGGTGAAGAAACTGAGGCATAGAGACATGAGTTACTTGCCCCAAACCACACTGACTAAAGCAGTAGGATTTGAGTCCAACAAGTCCGGCTCTAGAGTCTATGCTGCTACCCCAAATTCTGGGTCCCCCAGGTAGACACCCACCCTCTGACTTGTCCATCCTCCACCCCAGTCAGGGAGTCCAACTAATAGACACCCAGCTCTGGCCCCATCAGATACTCCAACATCCCATCATCCAGTTCCTTACCCTTGCAGAGCCCCAGGACTTGAGTTCCCCAGCTCTCAATTCATCAGGGCCCTGGACATCGGATTGTTTCCCAAGAGGCCCAGATGCATAGTAGTTATTACCCTCCACCCTAATTCAATATCCTAAGAATAAATAATAGTACATACATACATAGTTAATATTAAGTCCCTGGTAAACCTTCAAATGGCTTCCCACTGCACTTAGAATAAAATCCAAATCCTCCCCTAGGCGTCAAGGGCACCCTTTGATTTTCCTTCCCGCCATTCCTTCTGGCTTGCTCTGCTCCAACCACACTGGCCCTCTGTCTGCTGCCCAAACAACCTGAGTTTGTTCTCAAGAGTCTTTCCATGGCTCTGCGCCCTTAGCACAGTGGTTACGGCACCAGCCACATACACCAAGAGTGACAGGTTCGAACAAGGCCCGGATCAGCTAAAACAACTGCAACAAAAAAATAACCAGGCATTGTGATGGTTGCCAGTAGTCCCAGCTTCTTGGGAGGCTGAGCCAAGAGAATGGCTTAAACCCAGGAGTTGGGGGTTGATGTGAGTTGTGATGCCACGGCTCTCTACCAAGGGCCAGCTAAAATAACTGCAACAAAAAAATAACCAGGCATTGTGGTGGGTGCCCGTAGTCCCAGCTTCTTGGGAGGCTGAGCCAAGAGAATGGCTTAAACCCAGGAGTTGGAGACTGATGTGAGCTATGATGCCATGGCATTGAAACTCTCTCTTAACAAAAACAAACAAATAAAAAAAGTCTTTCCACTTCCTCTCCTTCTCCCCAGCATTCGAAGGACTCCAGTCTTCAGGTCTCAGTTCAAATGTCACCTCCCCCAAGAGGCCTTCCCTGATTACCTTGTTTCAAGTACTCTCCCTCCATCTATTATCTCCATTGGTCTATTTTATTTCCTTCAAAATACTTATTACCCACCAGGTGCGGTGGCTCATGCCTATAATCCGAGCACTTGGGAGGCTGAAGTGGGTGGATTGCCTGAGCTCACAGACTTGAGACCAGCCTGAGCCAGAGCAAGACCTCATCTCTAAAGATAGCTGGGCACTGTGGTAGGTGGCTGTAGTCCTAGCTATCTGGGAGACTGAGGCAAGAGAATCACTTGAGCCCAAGAGTTTGAGGTTACTGTGAGCTACAACGCCACAGCACTCTAGCAGGGGTGACAAAGAAAGACTCTGTCACCAAAAAAAAAAATACTTATCTGAAATTTTATCTTCATCACTGATATGTTTTCTCTTTATTGTCTGCCTCCCTCTACAAGAAGATAAGCTCCATAATAACAGCAGGACTTAAGTCTGTTTTCTTCTTTTTTTTAGAGACAGAGTCTCACTTTGTCACCCTCAGTAGAGTGCCGTGGCATCACAGCTCACAACAGCCTCCAACTCCTGGGCTTAGGCGATTCTCTTGCCTCAGCCTCCTGAGTAGCTAGGATCACAGGCCCACCACAACGCCCAGCTATTTTTTGTTGTTGTTATTGTTGCAGTTTGGCCAGGGCCGGGTTTGAACCCGCCACCTTCGGTATATGGGGCCAGAGCCCTACTCACTGAGCCACAGGCACCGCCCTGTTTTCTTCATTATTAACTCCTGGTTCATGGTAGGTATTCAATAAATGATGAAGGAAGGAATGGGTTAAGTGTGCTTATAGTATCTTATTCAAAATAAGTATCAGAATTATTATTATCAGTATTATTATTGTCAGTATTAGTATATTATTAGTATTATTATACCCACTATACAGATTAGAAACCTGAGGCTTAGAGAGGTAAAATAATTGACCCACAGTCATTCAGTCAGGAAATGATGGCACTGCACCTCCTGCCCTCATCTAGAGCTTCATACATTTCATCTCTCATCCTATGACCCCTAACCTGGGGTGAACTCCACCAGCCCCAAGCCCAATCTGTGCCACAGGAATCTAGCTGGGAGTTTCCCAGATGCCTATCCAGCTCCAGGCTCCATCAAGGAAAGCAGACATCAGGTCCCAGGGCAAGACCCAAAGACCCATTGGGCCCTCCCACCTACAACACTTGCCCCACCCAAGAGCCCCATTCCAAGGATTTCTCATCTCAATCCTGGAAGGAGCCCCATAAGATGTCTGTCTAGGGGCATTGGGTGGGGGCCCAGTGAAAGAGGAACTGGAGTGGGCCCTCCCCCTGGCAGCAGACCTCAGCTGGGTGCGGTGAGGGTGGGTATAAAAGGGTCAGTATATATTGAGAGAAGTAGAGAAAGAGAAGAGAGAGACAGAAGGAGGCCTAGTCAGTGTGGGCAGGAGAGAGAAAAAGAGGCAGAAGAGGCTGAGAGAGAGAGAGAAAGAAAGGGTTCCGGGATTGGAGGGGAAAGAGAGGGAGGGAGGGAGGCGGCGAGGGAGGCGGGGGCCTCGAGAGGGTGGAAGGAGAGAGAAGGGCGGGGCACGGAGGCCCAAGCAAGGGAAGAGACTCCAACTCTGACTTTTTCCGCGGCTCTCGGGTAAGTTTCCAGTCCGTTATTCAGACTGAGATGTCTTTATTTAATTTACTTGGGAGTGTGGCAGTTTGGGAGGGACACCCCCAGGATGAGAGAGGACCCTCCCCACTCACGGCCCCCATGAAAATCATTGTAATTTAGAAAGTGATCTCTTAGCATTTGGGGTGGGGATGCGGGAAGGGGTGGGGCCCTGCAAGGTTTTGGGGTCCCACAAGAGTCCCCCCTGGAAAAATTCTCATAGTTTTTACTAGCAAGGGGGTCCACTCTCTTCTGAGGATCCTAAACTGAGAAAATTGCATGAAAACATCCCAAGTCTCGAACTCTGAGGTCCCCTGTTTCTGAACACTAAAAGGTTGTGGAAGGCGATCTGCTTCTCAGGCTTCTTCCTCCACAAGATAGATCTGATCCATTTCCCCGCTCTAGATGTCCAGCAGGCAGTCTGGCAGCTGGGTGGGGTGAGGACCTCGTGGACATAGCCAGGGGCTGGGGTTTCCCTGGTGCTTGGAGGCAGAGGGGTGCGATGAGTCACCGGATGACTCACCGGGTCCCCCTCCTCCTCCCACCGCGGGAGAGGGGTGGTGTGAGTCAAGGATGCCTGTCGCCTGCTGGGGGCAACTCCTAGCTCCTGATAAATAGGGGGAGTGGGGAAGTCATCTTTAATTTTCATGATCTGACCCATATGTGCCCAGACACAGGGCTCTGAGGACAGAGGAGCCACATTGCTTGTTCTACTCATTCCAGTACCCCAGTAAATCATCTCCAACGCTCCAGCCCCTGGGGAACACAGGAATCCAGGCCCCAGTTTCCTCCTCCCTTGAGAGACCTGGGAGTTCAGGCTCCCATCGTCTCCTCCCTCAGACCCAGGAGTCTGGACCCCAGCTCCCTCCTCCATTACGATTAGAGTTTCTCACCTGCCTCGTTACTAATCTCTTGAGACTCAATTTCCTGTCTGTCCTTCCCCAGGCTTCTACTGCAGCCATGTCACTCCTTCTGCTGGTGGTCTCTGCCCTCCACATCCTCATTCTCATCCTGCTTTTCGTGGCCACTTTGGACAAGGTAAGCCTAACTGGAGCTCGGAGTCCTTTTGCTCCCCTGCAGATTCCCGCCACGCCCCTCCTGTAAGTCACTCTGGCCACGCCCCCTTTCCCTAGCACCTACCCTCTCAGCTCTACCTCTGATGCCTCGCCCCTGCCCTTCCCCCTAACATACCCTCTTTCCTCCCCTGGCTTACTAAATCCAAACTCTCCCCAGTTCTGCCCCTTCCCCGGAACCTGGCCCTCTTCCTAACCCTTCCCACAGTATCCCTGATCCGGTCCTCTTTCATTTCTTAATCCTGCCCTTATTTCACCGTCCATCTCAGTCCTGGTGGACTCTCCCTGGGAAGG